TCTACACAGAAGTTAAGCAATATCTTAGATGCACTTTGGAGCTTGATATATAAGTCTTAGTCAAATATGTGCTAGAGGCACCATTATTTTGATGATGTAACTCAAATTTCCATGTAATGGGTAACACTACTCATTATATTCTATTTATAAATAAAATTTCTTTACTTTAAAAAAAAAAAAAAAAAACCTACAGTTCCCTTCCTCCCAAATATAATAGATGGCACAAACATATAAAGATTTCAAGTTTTGCATGATAACTGTGAAACATTGACCTAAAAATGCAAGCGCATATTATTGTATCAAGTAATAAAGAATGAGTAAAGTATCATTTCTACAAAAATTAATAATAAAAAATTTTGCTGAGCACCTAAATTATGTTAGTGCTAATTTTATCTAATTATCAAAAACTCTTGATATGAAAACAAATTTATTAAACTAAACTAAAGAAAATAACTAATTCTTAAAAATGATAGTTTAACCTCTATAAAAAGTTCAGGGTTATGTCTACTTATCTACTCAATTCATTTGCATTCAATTCACCAAAATCCTAATCATTTTGCTCTTTTGAATCATGTCCAAGAATCCTTTGAGTTTTTACTGATTCTCTTTCAAGTGACAATAAATTATCCCAAACCACCTACTTATATATTTTTATATGTAGTGCAGTGAATTGAAACTAAAATTCAAGTATAGTGATTCTTCTCCCAAGAACACATCAATTCTAAGAGTATATTTCTATCTCCTCAAATTAATGACATTCATTTGGTGGTCTCATTTAACTATCCCCTCTCAGTTCAAGTTAAACATTCATACATCTTGTTAATTGGCCAATTCAACAAGAAAACAATCTACAAATGAAATACTAATTCAAAATGACGCAAAATAGATCAGGCTCTGACTTCTCAAAATGAAAACTTAATGATTGGATTTCAACATAACCCCAAGTACAGAATTACTCCATAATCAAAGACAGAAAACAAACAGTTGTACTAGAATTCATTAAAACTAAAACAGAAAAATAGAAACTAACATACGTTTTCTATGGGTACAAAGAAAGAAATTACTAATTTGAATTTGGAAGAAGTCTGCCCATTGAATGTTGCTATTGAGAAAAAATGAAAAATGTAGATTTTTTCTCTCCTATGCTCTTTGCCAACTATTCTGCTCTTTTTTTTTTTTTTTCAGCATCCAGAAGACAGTTTTCCTTTGACAGTTTCTTCCCTCTTTTGCTCCACTTCCTTCTTCCTATTTTCACGTTAAAAACTGCCCACTAACTCCAAAACTGCCCTGCTATCTTTTAAGCCATGAAATTTGATGATGTGGCTCTTAATAGTTGAAGTTGGTTTGACTTGAAGCAAGCTTGAACTGAATCTTCAATCCTTCAAATTTCAAAATTTGTTATTAGAGCTTCCAACTTTTCAAAAATTACTATTCTAGCCCTCGCCTAAGAGAAAACAACCAAATTATGTAAAATCACAAAGAATTTCACATGAATAGTATAGTGATCTTAAATTTAAGGTTATATTGACCTATAAAACTGCATAAAAATTGATCTCATCACTGCACCTCTCGACTTGTAACACTGTAGCTTCTCGGCACCATTTCCATTCCCGACAGTGGTGAATACATGGCGGATGCAACCCCAAACTCTGCAAAACTTCAACCCATCCTTGCTTAATTAGCTAATATAATGTTAGCTACCTAGACCAAGGAGGTTTTGTTTATAATACTTTTGGGCTTTTTCTAAAGCAGATATTATTCTTAGAAATCACGGGAGATGCAAATTTACAGTTTTTATGGGTAGTTTATCCAACGTCTGCGAGTATACATGTAGAATGAAGAAATTTATACTTAAATAGTACTAATAATACTTTGGCTTTTATCTTGTGCTTTTATAATATATATTTTTATTATAAATTTATATTCAAAAAATAAAAATTAATTTTTAATTTAATAATTGTCTAATTAAATTTATATATATGATAACAATATGAGAATTATTGTTAATTTTTAAATTTTTATATAAATTTATAAAAGCAATTTTAATATACACCTTAAAAACATATATTAAAAGAAACTCATAATACTTTTATGAAAGTATTGATTTTTTTAACTAATACAATTAGAAAATAAAAAATAAAATTATTAAAATTTAAATCTTAAACTTTTAAAATGTCAAAATATTCCTTAAAAATTATAATCATTAAGTTACAATGATTTATTTATCATGTGCCCATAAGAAACAATAATTATATAATTATTGTAGTCACTACAAGGAGATGTACCTATATTGACGGAAGTTTTCAGTCTGTATAGAGCCATTTTCCGTTGGTATAGACCTCCATGGACTATTCCGACAAAAGAACTTTCAGTCGGTAGAAACCTCGTCAGTATAGGGTTTATACCAACGCCTAATCCATTTGTATAGACCCTTGGGACTATTTTCACAAAAAACCTACCCGTTGGTATAGACCCTAAGAAATTTGAAAAAAAAAAAATTGTCGTAGGTATAAACTTTCACCTTTACAAATGGATAATCAGTTGGTATAAACCCTGGAAAGAAAGAAAAAAAAAAAACCATCTGCATCTGTAGCCACAGCAGCTTCATTTGACTAAAATTAAACTCAATCTACTCAATCTCTTGCTCTACCATCACAAATCTCTAAAGAAATTCTAATGTACTAACAAATCTCACAAATCTGTTAAAAAATATAAATGATCAACAAATTCATAACTATTCAAGCTCCCATAGCTATTTGCAGGCAACATAAATAAAAACTTTAGCGAAAGAAAAGTTTATTATGGTGTTTATAAACCCACCGTGTGACAATGAGATCATTGTAGCAACTGTGAGAGGGTTGTGTTTCTCCTATTAACTATCCTGATGCTTAAATCTCGCAAAAGCAAAGAAACCCAAAAAGTGAAAATGAAATGAGATAAAACATAGAGGAAAAAAAATAAGGAAGAAATGGGGGACATTGAAAAACAAAAAACCTCTTCCACCACTTGTATCACCATCTCCCCTTTACCTCTCACCATTAGTTTGATTCCTTTTAAAACTTGTACTAAAACCAAGTAACAACAAAGAAGCACAAACAACCATCAATTTAGCAACTTTAACTACTTAAGCAACATCAAGAAAAGAAACAAAACTGAATTCATCCAAAGAATCTGGTTGACACCCTACAACTTGCAAACATGCTTTTAACTATGCTACTTATGGAAAGAAAGAATAAGCCTTTGCAATTTCTTAATGGCATGTATAAATCACCTTTGGCTGCAGCTTAATGCAGTTGGCAAAACCAGCCATGAAAATTTTCCATAAAGAAACACTACCCAAAATCAATTTGAGATGAATTGCAAACATGTATAAAAAGAGTTGGCAAACTTGTTAGCAATCAAGCCAATCAATTATGCCCTTCAGACCACTCCAGGGCTTATAAAATTAATAGTTACTTAACTCAACTCTAAACCATGAATGAGATTAAGTCATGGGTAACATTGAGCACAAATACACATGGATGAGTAAACGCTAGACCCCAATCAGTATGGATTCAACCAAGGTGCCTAAAATTAGTTCAGGCAACATATAAAGTCACAAACCAAATGACAATGAATCCGTAATACTACAGCATATGATCTAACTTTAAAAAAAAAAGAAAGCTTTCAAAGTTAAAATAAAAAACAATACAAAAAAGACTCAATCACAACCATATGAATTTCAAAACAAATCAGTTAAAAATCATATGGAGAGGACAATCAGCTACCAATGATCTAAACAAACAAAAATGAAAATCATGCTCCCGTTTGAACAATGTAAATCATTCATGGCAAATCAAAATTAATGAATAACCAGAGTTGATCTAGATCTGAGATAGCTCGGTTCTATGTATACCTGAAGCTGTGGAATCCCTTGCTTCTATTAATTCCCTTTTTCTCAATTTCTTTTTCAATTTTGATAAAAATCCATTTACTTCCTTCAGTTTCTTCTTCCAAAGAATTAGGTGGAAACTACAAAACAGAAAAGAAAGAATTATAAAAATAATGTGGTAAGAAATTAAAAGAATTAAACAGATACACATGAACAAATAGAATACACAACACAAGATCAAATAAAACCCACCTCCTCAATATGTCTAATTCACGCCATTTGCTCTCCCCCTCTCCAGCATCAACAATCGCCATCTAAATCAAAAAGCAAGAGAAAGTGTAAGGAATTGAGATAGAAAACTTCAAGATACCACTGAGAAGAGAGATATATTGGATAGAGGAACCCCAGAGGTCTCATCGGACACTGGCAACCATCACCGACCCATCTAAACCCAGAAG